CTTGGCATTGGCATTTACCTTTGTAAGAATTCAGCCAATTGTTGGGAAACTAGGTTTAAATCCACCGACTATTCTTTTATGTGTTTTCCTTTGTTCTGTGATTTTCTTCATGATGGCTCTTAGGTAGAAATCTTTCATTTTCCTGCTGACAAATGAGCTTCTTACATAGTTTCTTGAATTTAGGATGGTATGGAATCTTTTATTTCTTCTAAATGACTCCAAATCAAGCTCCACTCTTCTCCATGGTTTTCCTTGCATTGTATTGCTGTAATTTACAATCGAAACCATTACTTCCATAACTATCAGCAAAACAATTCTCCATCAAACAGAGATCTGTTTACTATTGCTAGAAACCATTGTATAAAAGTTTTGTCTAATGCCAAAGCCCTCTATTCTCAAGTCATAAATTCTCATATTTTATCTCAAAAATTAGTCTCTTGTAACTTCTGGAGAATCTTTAACAGTATTAATAATAAAGGCAAATCTGTTATTCCACTTCTCTTGTATAGTTCAGATTTTGTCACCTCACCTAAAGACAAAGCTGAAATGTTTTCTAAGAACTTTTCATCAATATCATCTCTTGATTCCACTAGTTGCAATCTACCTGATATAGCCATCAAACAAGTTAATCCATTGCTTGACATTCATATCACTCCAGCTTCTGTATCAAAAGTGATTTCCTGCTTAGACTCTTCTACAGCTTGAGGTCCAGACAACATACCCAGCCCTTGTTTTAAAGCGTTACGCCTAGAGCGATTTACGTACGCCTTAAGCGATTTTTACGTACGCGTAGAGCTGTTTTGGTTAAGCTACTTTTTATCATTTTTTAACTTTTAAATTAGCGGTAACATAAAAGAAGTAATTAATTTTTAAAAAAACCACATTAACTTTTGAATAACGATATGTAAAAATATTTATTAGAAAAAAGAAGTTACGTTAAAAATAATTGAAGTAACTTTTCATTGCGATATATCATACGTTTTTATAACTTTTAATTTTACGCTAAACTTTGTATTCAAATATTTAGTTACATGAAAAATTGTTTGTCAATCCTTAACTACAAATTTTTTGCAAATGTTTTTAATAAAAAGTAGTAACTTTTTAAAGTTTTCAGTAAAAAACTTTTAAAAAATCTATATTCCAAACTTATTAATACAGAATATAAATGTTTTTTGTAATATAGATTTTTTAAGAGTTTTTTACTAAATTCATATTAAAAAACATTTGCAAAGAACTTGTAATTAAGGGTTGACATTTTTTTAATATATCAAAAAACGTCTTAATATTTTTGTTATCATGATAATAAAAATATCAAGACATTTTTTCAAGATATTAAAAAAAATGTGCCAATGAATGAACAATCTATTTGTATTTTTCTCAAAATTACTTCATTAATTATTACTCTTTGCTTTTCTTATTAGTTAAAGGTATATAGATACCTTTGCTTTTAAGTTATGCAGGGGGAGGGGGCCAGCACAGAAAGAAAAAAATTACCTGTTACTCGCAATTTTTGAATGAAGACAATTTGTTAAATTTTTTCTGCGTGCGATTCAATAAATTTTTTTCATAGGTCAAGTTATATTATAAGGTAAAGATATCACGAATAGACTATAACATCCACTGATGACACTAATATTACGTTGAATATATTTATATAATGGAGGTTTCATTTTGCACGTGCACATTACAGATTACGTTAAATAAATACTAAGGCACGTTTTAGTTTAATGACAGTCTCTTATTTTTATTAATGAATATGTATTTTCTTTATAAAACAAGACAAACTAGTATATAAAAACTTTGTATATTTCTTTTCTCTCTAAATTGTTTATATTTTGAAGGACAAATGATTTACTTTAAAAACTTTTAAATCTTGGGACTTTGCCGATGCAATGATCACAGAAAAAGAGAAGACTTACGTTATTAAAATCAAATGTAAGTTATATGATCTTCATCAAAATAAAATACTACGGTTTATAAATAACACAAGTCATGTTAAAATATTTTAACATGTTACTATATTTAAGTTGATATATAAATAAAAATAAAAATATAGTTTAATAAATAAAATAAATTTGTTCTTAACAAAGATTACCTCAAATTTATTCTTTTTTTATTTTATTAAGTTAAATTGCTTACAAACAAAGAAAAAAAAGAGTTTTTTTTTTTTTGTAATTATACGTAGAATGAAAATACTTTTGAGTTTGTTTATAAGTTAAGGAACTTAATTTTTAATAAACAAATTTTTACGAACGTTTATTATAAACAGATACGATTCAAATTATTAAATATACTTATATTATTTTAGTTGAGTATTTTTTTAAGTTTGCACGATTAAAGTTTTGCGGAGAAGTATTTGTTTTTTGTTTTAAGAATAATTAACAAAAGAGTTTGCATAATTAGGACTTTTATATTTAACTTAATTTTTTTTTAATTTCCTAAAATTTTTTTAAAAAAAGATTTAATCGTTAAAACGATATTTCTCTATAGCTCTGTTTCTTTGTAATTTGTTTAAAATGTAAAACATTTTTACAATAACATAAAAAATTTATGAATTAAATTCCTGGCGAACGCGTTCTAAACTATGTATCAAAAATATGCTCAAAGCAGACAAAATGTTTTTATATTTTTATATAACGCAAGTTGAAACGCTAAGCAAGATAAATTAAAAAATATATTCTTTCCTAAATTATTCTTTGCTAGTCAAAACAAAATCACTGTTTAAATAATTAACATAGGTTTTTGTTTATCAATGTTAATATTTTTTGTTTACTCCAGAAATTTTTAAAAATAAAAAAAAAATCATTATTTTTTATTCAATAACAATTTTATAAACAATTATTCAAAAACAAATTTCAGAAATAGTTAAAATATATTTATAACGTTTATAGTTATTTGAGTTAATTGTTAAATTGAACTAGTTAGCGGTTATTTATTTATTGCGGTAGTTAAAACCACTTAACGTCTATAAAAAAAATAAAGATAATTTCATGACGTCAAATATCGCATTAAGCTAATGCGTTAAGCACTTTTTTATTTAAAACAAGGCCTGCATACCTGTTTTAGTCTAAAAGTGTTCTCCAGAGTTTTTTTCTATACTTTCAAAACTATTTAACAATTGCTTATCAAAGTCTTGTTTTCCAGCATGCTGAAAAGCGGCATCTGTTATCCATATTTTCTAAAATTCTGGAATATGATCTGACTGGTCTAATTACCGTCCCATTAGTCTTCTTCCTATCATAAGCAAGGTTTTGAATCTTTAATTAACAAACACTAAATCTTTTATCTTGAATCTATTAACATACTTTCTGATCATGAATAAAGATTTTGATCTTCTTATTCTACAGCTGATTTGCTAACAGTAAAAACCGATAGATTTTATCTTGCATTAGATCAAAGCGGAGAGGTCTTCTCCAAAAGCTTTTTTCTTACGGTGTACCAGGTAACATCTTCAAGATTATTTAATGCTTCCTTTCCAATCATAGTATAAAAGTTGTCCTCAATGGACAGCACTCTTTTTCATATCCTGCAATTTCAGGGTTTCCTTAAAGTTCTATCCTTAGCCCTATACTCTTTTTAATTTACATTAACAATCTTCCAGATATTCTCACATCTAAGGTGGCTTTGTTCGCTGACAATACTACCATTTACTCTTGTCTTAATAAGAAGTCAACACCCTCTGATTGCTTAAAGAGGGAATTTGACTTTAAAAAGGATCTCACTTCTGCTACAGCATGGAGCTCACAGTGGCTGGTGAACTTAAATTAGGATTTAATCTTTTTTGGAAACCATATATCAAATCCATTGCAAAGTTAGCATTTGTAAAGGTTGCTTCTCTTTACTGTGCTCAACACTTTCTTACTTCGGATTTTATTCTTTATCTCTATAAATCTCAAATCCATCCTTGTATGGAATTTTGTTGCCATATCTGGGGTGGATCTTCGAATGATGCCCTTTCTCTTTTAGACAAGGTGCAAAATTATAATTTTGGTAATGTTGCTTCTCTTTCTCTTTTCTACAAATACTATAATGGGCACTGCTCTAAAGAGCTAGCGACATTTGTGCCATCTACTAAAATTTATTTTCGTGTTACTCATCATTCAATTAAATCTCATCTCTTTTTTGTGACTGTTCCTAAGTGCTCCTAAAACTCTTATTCGTCTAGCTTTTTTCCTCGAATATCAGTTCTTTGGAATTTGCTTCCTTCATTTTGCATCCTGATTGAAACAATTTGCAATCTTCTAAGTCATCTGTCAATCATTATCTTGCTTTATAAACTTCATCTATTCTCTTTCAGCAACTTCCAACTCTAATTGTGGTTGCTTGCAGCCTTGTTAAAAGCAAAGATGTTGAAAAAAACAAACAAACAAAAAAAAAAACAGTAATGTCTGTAATGAGTGCTTACAAATATCTTAGGCTATACAATATTGTAATTGTGTTTTGTATTGATAGAGCTAGGCTGTTATAACTATTTTTTTATATTATATATTTTTTTTATATTATTATTTTAATTCTAAAAATACAATGCAAATAATACTTTTGTAATTAAAAATTATAAATTTTTTTTTTAATTTTGTTTATTAGGAATTGGCAGGCTTTACTTGAAATTTCTGCTCTAGTGCCTGCTGTGTTGTAACAGATTTTAAAAAGAAGTTAACGGATGTTTATGTAGTCTTTTTATGTTTTTAATTATGAGCAATGACATTGCTGATAAGAAGCCAAGTTTAAAATATTATTTATATATAAATTTGTATTTAACTATATTTTTTATATAATATATCAAGTTATGTTATTAATGATTTAATTAACTAATTTAATAATTTGTATTACAGGTTGCTTACTTCTAGTTTAACATAACTATTGCTATATATAACTTTTTTATATCGACACTAAAGGTGCGCCTAGTATACACAAAAATATGGATGGGAGTGAACTTTTACACACCGTTATTATTTTTAAAATAATGAGCATAAAAATAAATATAAAAGGTAGTTGATTACCCTCCTTTGTTTATAAGCATCAATTTGCTGTTGCTGCCTAGCAACATTACGTTGAAAATTGTGTAGCTTCTGAGAATCTTGGCAAAGTTCGTCAGCTCCTTCAATCAACAAGTGAACATTTTTTTCTAAATATGATCTGAAAAGAAAAAAAAATTGTAACATTTATTTTAAATTTAAATTAAAAAACAAACAAAAAGAAAAAAAAAGAAGAAATAAATGCTCAAATAAACATGACAAATTAGAATAAATGCTTAAAATAAATGCTTCATAATATTACAATAAATATAATTTAAGTTTTATACTCGGTGTAGTTAAGGCGATTTACAAGTTATTCTAATTCTTTTATTTGCAATTAGCATATTTTTATCAGTGTATTATGTTCATACAAGAGCTTTAGATATTATATTTTTTTTTGCTTAAGGTTTTTTTAATATTTAAAGAAACTTTTTTTTGCAAATAATTTTTAAAACCATTTTACTAGCCCTAATAGTGAATCTAATGAACACCATTTAGTAGTTTTTAGATCACTTTGCTTGTCGGCATTAATGTGAATTTAGTTAAAATTTTTTGAAAAAGTGCCTTAACCCAATATAGATCCTAGCTCTAATTGGTTCTGAGGTATATTAACTATAAATTATAAAAAACTTAAAAGTTAAAATGATAAATTTTGCGGTATCATAAAATATAAATGTTTGTAGTGAAAAACCCAGACCAAATGTTCTTTTTTTTTTTTTAAATTTAAATTACAATCGCTAGTCCAAAATTGAATAAGATTTTAAATATGTTCGTTATTTAGGTAAATAAACATCATAGTTTAATAAATATTTAAAAAAAAGCTCTTTCTTGGTCGAAATTTTAGTATTTTTTGTGAAAATTAATAGAAATATTGTATTTTGACAACTTGGTTTTTTATAATTTACAGACCTGATCATTTAACTGAAATATGTTGTAGTCAACAAAATATTATACAGACGCTATAATATTTTAAAATTCCTTTAACTACACCAAGTAGCAAAATTTATTTGAAATTTAAAAAAACATGCTCCACAAAAAAAGTTTAAAAGATCGGTTATAACATAATTATTAAAAAAATTAGATAAAAGTTTTTGAGCATAGCTACAGCTTTAAGAAGCTTGGCTGAATGAAAACTCATATAATATAAGGTTTTGGTTAGTGAAGCAAGAGTTGATAGTTCACTAAAGTAACAACTTTGATAGTAGTTGCAGAAAAAAGAAGAAGATACAACTTTACAATGATTAAACAGAAATTTAAGCCCTGTACTTTAACAATGTATTTTCAGACCTTGTCTAAAAGTGAAAGAGCATCATAAGAAGACCAGCTCAAATATGACAAGAGTATTTAATACAAGAAGGAGATATATAGAGAGGCAGAGAATGGAACCAAGAGTAACAAATAAGTTAGCACAAAATTAAGGCAACCATAGTAGATGCTAACTGTACAATGGGTTGAATATGAGAGACCAGTAGCAAAAGATAATTTAAGAAGAGATGTTACTATATTGATATTCATCAATATAGTAACATCGGCATTGTGATTAAGTGCAAGCAATGCAAATTTTGACATGGAGGTAACATCAACATGTGTTAGATTAAGTTTTTACCTGTCACCCGTTCACTGTTGTTTAAATTATTTTAACAGATGTTGTAGCCAAATGTTGAATGAACAGATATAATTATTTTATCCCCATATTAGTAAGTATAGGTAACAACAGAATACAACAGGTATAATTTAAACTAATTTTTAGTTTTTTTGTTGTTGAAAAACTTTTGTTAAAATATAAGTAAAAACATACTATAATATCATTTTACGCATGTTTTTATGATGTTGTTTCTAAATACTAAGCATTTATGATTTTTTTTGTAGCATCTTTTTTTTAAAATGCATATTTCAAATTTGGGGTAACATTAACATAAATGCTTCAACTAACCCATGGGCTAAGAATCAAAAAAAAGTTGGTGGAATGTTTTACATCTGATGAATCTTTCACAATTACACGTAATGGAATCAAATAAAGCAAATTCTAAATTAAGAGTTAGTAAAAAATATATATTTACAAATACATCAAATGTTAACAGATCCAAAAATGAACAATTGCATCTAATTAAAATTAAAAATCTAATAAGAACAAAAAATTAAAAATCTAATAAGAACAAAACATCAGAACCTCAAGATGTAAAAAAATGTCTTGTTGATTCAGAAATTAAATCAAACACCAAAAAGTTTGTTACAAAGAAATCCAGCAAAAGATTACAATGCCGAAATCTCACAGACTTCGTCGGAGTCAGATATTGAGTCATTGATGTGATGTAGAGCTTAATAGTTTGATAACTTTTAGAAAAAAAGTTTTTAGGTGTAAATTAACATTTTTCAATCATAAATTAAAATATTTTATATAATAATTTCACCTTTCACAAAGTAAATTATAAAATATAATATGTCAATCTTGACCCCATATAGAGATAAGATACCCCATATAGAGATAAGATACCCCATATAGAGATAAGATACCTCATATATAGATAATATAGGGGTAAGATTGACAGTTGCACACCAACCACAAAATCAATTATCTACCAATAGTATAATATTATTGGTAAATAATTGGTTTTGTTGTTGGTGTGCAACCGCCAATCTTAAGGTGAGTTTCCACTCATCCTTTTTTCTACGGGAAAAGGAAAGGGAACGGAAAAATAATCACGTGAGCATGCGCAGTTTTCTTTCGGACAAATAAAAACTTTTATTACGCATGCTCACGTGATTATTTTTTTCTTTCCTATCCCGTTCCCGTAGAAAAACGGATGAGTGGAAACTCGCCTTTACCCTCTATATGGGATAAAGATTGACATATCATATTTTATAATTTACATTATGCGAGGTGAAATTATTATTTCTCTGGTTTATTTTGACAAACAAACTAAAGAAAATATTTTAATTTATGATATAAAATGTCAATTTATGATTAAAACTTTTTTTCTATGCAATATTAATATTAATTAACTAATAACACAGGTCAACAAAAAATTTTTTTTTTCTAGTGCCAAGAAAACAATTTGTTTTTTGTATAACATTCTTATTTTGATTTCAAATATGCAACTGATTTTTCACCATCACGTCAAGTTGTAAAGATATTTGGTTTCAAATCTTTAATATTTGGGGTAAAGTCCTAAATATTGTTGAAAAAAAATTATTCAAAAGTATGTCAACCTGTATCTCAAAAGAAGCGTATTTTCATAGAGATTTTTAAAATGTTATTCTTTTGTAATAAAAATAAATACTTTTTGTATTATTGCTGAGTAATATTTTGTTAAAATTTTTTGAGTCTAAAGTATTTTTTCACATATTTTTTTTCTCAATGAATTTTAAGAAAAATTATTTATGTTTTCTAAAATCTCTATGAAAATACGCTTTTTTTTTGACGTGATGGTGAATAATGAATTGCATATTTGAAATCAAAATGAGAAATGTTATACAAAAATAAAATTTATCAAGTTCGCTCGGCACCAGAAAATTTTTTTGTTGTTGTTGACCTGTGTAATTTTTATCATTTTAAGCAATATCATTGATAAACACATAAATATATTTCACATTGAAATAATTTTATCATACCAAAAGAAAATATATATTTTCTAAAGATGTGTTAATGTTACATCTTAGTTAATAAAGATTAAAAACGTTTTTTTTTTAAATCAACATTTATTACTCACAAAACAAAATTTTGAATAAAAATTCAATTATTACAATAAAACGATGGTTTAAATGATTTTAAAAAGTGTTAACTTAAACTTATGTTGAGTTTAAATTAAAAAGTTAGCATCATACAAAAATAAGCTAACAATGAAGAATTAGTTATAAAATAATAAGTTAGCAATAATACTACTACTTATATATATATATATATATATATATATATATATATATATATATATATATATATATATATATATATATATATATATATATATATACACTTAAGTTTATACTTATATTTTATACTTGAGTTTATACTTGAGTTTATACTTATATATTATACTTAAGTTTTTCAAAAAATTGAAGCTAAACAGTCTAATGCATTACTCAAGATTACTAAATATCATATTTTATTTCAGAAATTAGGTTCTAAAAACTTTTAGAAAATCTTTAAAAGGATCATTAACAAATGCAAATCTAACACTCCATCTATACATGGATTTGATTTTATTACCTTTATTGATAATATATTATTGATAATATTCTTTATTGATAATATACTTTATTACCTATATTGATAATAAGCAGTAGTGGTGTAATGGTAGAGTGCTTGCCTCATTAACGAGAAGTTCCAAGTTCGATTTCCACCAAATCCCAGGTAGTACCTCAACTTGTTTTTCCGCGCAGAAGCCTTGTTCAGCAAGGTTCGTTTTTTGGAGTTATAGAGTTGAGAGAAGGTTGTAACCACAAAAGTAGCCTCCTTGACTGTAGTGGCCTTCTCAGCCTTGGGGAGGTGAATAATTAATATATATATATATATATATATATATATATATATATATATATATATATATATATATATATATATATATATATATATATATATATATATATATATATATGTATATATATATATATATATATGTATATATATATGTATATATATATATATATATATATATATATATATATATATATGTGTATATATATATATGTGTATATATATATGTGTGTGTGCATATATATATATATATATATATATATATATATATATATATATATATATCAGAACTGTTTGCAAAGAATTTTTCTTCCCAGTTATCTCTTAAATCCAATCCTCACTCTTCAAATCAACCAAGAGAAACAGGTTATTCTGTTGTTTAACATATAAATCATCCAAGCTTTAATTACTTAAGTTGTTTTTCACTTAAAAAATCTTTCGATTAAATTAATTTTACTTCTAACAAATTTTTTACGCCTTCATTAAGTCTAGCATACTTTACTTCATAAACTTTCTTTACATGGTGTCTCTAGGAAAGTTTTCAAAATTATTTAATCATACCTTAAAGTAGTAGTGGCTATTGATAGACACTCAACTTTCTTTCCTAAATTTCTGAAGTATCTCAAGGTTCGATATTTGTTCTTGCATTATTTCTTATCGATATTATTGATAATCTTATATATACGGTCGCTCTATTTGCTGATGACACAAGTATATACTCCATTTTAACAAAATGTCATCACTTTTTGATTGCAAATGTAGTTAAAACTTTTTTTATCAAAATTATATTGTTACTATAACTCTTTTATAAGAATTTTTATTTGATATGATAGTAAATAAATTTTTGTTGCTACTGTTTTAGATCATAATATCTAAAACTTTTTTATTCATAAATACTAATTGTTAAAAAAAATGACATACCCAGTAGCTAAACTTAAGAACTCTTCTTTTTCAGGGAGCTGGACGGTCTCTTCAATCTCACAAATTAATGTATTAACTAAGTTGGAAGTTTTGATAGTAACAGGAACCTCTTCAAGAATATTTGTGAAATCTACATTTTCTTTAATTAACCTAATATAAAAATATTAGTAAAATATATCTTAATGATAAGACTTGAAAAAAAAATGCACAAAAAAAAATTCATATCAAATCAAGAATTACTCAGCTTTACTACCTAAATTTATTATTTAAAAAAATATATAAAACTATTTTTAAAAAATTATATAAGCTAATTTTTTTTTTTAATCAACAATTTAGAACAATCCCTAATTTAGTTCCTACTTATTTTCTTCTACAGAAAAAACTGTAACTAAATGTCATAGTATTACTAATCTAGGAAAATTTTATATTATATTAAGTATTCCTACGAACTTTATACTTTTCTTAAAACTAATACAACTACTTCAAAAACAGAAATTGAATGAATAGTAGGCCAGATCCATTTTTTATTTTATTATTCAATTATTTAAAAAAAATAAAGCTTATCATTTTAAACTAAGTTACTTTTGTTTATTGTTGAATGCCTTAATATTAAACTTTAAAAAATCAAACTTAACAAAATCTTTGAAAATGATGCCACTTACATTTCTGGAGTAAAATTTTTTTCTGCACCGGCATATAGATCAAGCATTTTTTGTGATAAGCGATAGGCTTTAAAGGAAAGCATCCCTTGATGAGTTTGCAATGGATCTACAAAACATTTTCAAGATTTAGACTTATAGAATTGATTATAAACATTAAATAAAAAATCCATACCATAAACAAGTACAACAGATTCTTCTATGGAGCGTTGGTAATGGAACTGAGATTCAACAAAATTTCGATTGAGGAAAGAACCCAAACATGTTGATTGGTACCAACCAACATGAAAATGGTCTACATTCACTTCACGAAGTTTACGCATCATGTCAATCTGATAATTTTCTTAAGAAACATTACAGAAATATTACATTTAACAATATATTAAATAATCATAAACATATTATATTAATCAATACTCAATATAATACAAGCAATTTCTAAATTTTCTTGTAATACTCATTATGCGAAAATAAATTTTTTATAAAACTTGCTGATTTATAAATATGATTACCATCATCGTACTCATCATCTTCATTACGCGGTCGTGGAAAACAGTTAGTAACCTCTAATGTTTTGTCTACAAGAAGTCCCAATAAATCACCCTGAGCTATTTCTCCAGGGCCTTCTTCATGACAATGCTTAACAATCTTAAGTGCTACCTTGACAAAAAAGTTGATGTAAACATTATATTCAAATTTTTAAAAGTAATCATTTTTGATATTATAAAATATGTGATATGATATGACTGATTTTAAATAAATTATTAATAATTATTTTAATTACATTAATTTAACTTTTAAATTTAATATTGAACTTATTTTTACAGTAATACACTTAAAAAAATAAAAAACTTAATGAATAAGAAAATAACAATTTAAAACTATTTATATATAAAAAAATATTTATAAACATTTATAAACATACAAGCCCTTCAATTTGAACAGATTCAACTTGATCTTTAGTATTTTTTGTCAATTCCATCTTGCAAACGACCACGTTCGATCACGTAAGCCGCGAATATCGCGCAATTTTTGGAAGAATTTAAATTTTATTTTTTGTTCCCGTATTCACACTAGAAACACTTGATCAAAGTACGCATAGTACGCATTTACATTTGACATAGCCTGCTTATAGTTAACAGTTAACTGTTAACAATGTTAACAGTTAACTCATTGTTATCAGTTGACTGTTGTCAAACAGTAAAAATTAAAATACGTTAAACTGTTACGCATTTTACCATTTTGCATTTACACTGACTTGCAGTTATAAAGAGTTTACTTGCGAGTTCGGTGTAATTAATTTAAAATTAATTATTCTTATTTATAGTTTCACAACAAATAGTTCCTGGAAAAAAATTATTTTTTGTACTTATTTTACAAGCTTGTGAATATTAATTTATTCTACGGATTTATGTTAAGGCCAGCGCGAAGGAGAGGTATGGGGGGGGGGGGGGGTGACACCCTACCATTAATCAATTTTTCGTTCGTTCAGAAAAACAAAGAAAACGCAGCAAAATGATATTTGTTAAAGAAACAAAAAAAAAATGTCACAAAATTGATGAGATGTTTAAACTTCTATTTTGAAATCAATTTTGTAATATATTTTTGCTTTATTAACCAATATTCTCCTTGTTTTTATGCACCTCCACGGAATATTCCTTATCAGAATGTTCCATTTAATACATTTAAAGATACAGTTTTATAAAATTTAGAGCTTTCTTATTTGAACGTTTTACAGCTCTAAATATATATATATATATATATATATATATATATATATATATATATATATATATATATATATATATATATATATATATATATATATATATATATATATATATATATATATATATATATATATATATATATATATATATATATATATATACATAAATTAAAAATGATGTTATTGTTATTTCGCTTTTAACCGTTTTCTATCTCATATTTTTCTACCAAAAAAGGTTTCAAAATAACCTGAAGTAAAAATAACTTTAACTTAAAACCTTCAAAAAAAGAGCTGTATGCTAATATAAAATTTTTCTTCAATTCCAAAAAGTATCAGGTCAGGTTTTCCTGCTACTGGTAACATGTAACCCAGTACAACCTGCTTCATGTCCTGCTGCCTTGTAGGATACGCTATTTTAGGCAAAGGCTAGGAGAAGTTAACTCCGAATTAAAACACCCCCTGCCTTGGGGCTCTTGGTTGAGTAAAGGCTAGAGATGGTGTCTCAATAAAAATACTCATCTTGGGCAGATGTTAAATGCATCCGGCTACTGTCTTGTAGAAGGCCTCCTAGGCAAAGAATTAGGGGTAAACAGATTTTTTCTGTTGACCAGTCTCGCACCCCTTCTACATCTATTAGGCTAGCGCAGATGTATTTTTAATACATTGTTTCCAGTTTAGGATGTTGAATACTGGATCTTCTTGACTCAATGCCTTAGCATTGCTTGTGTCTCTATTTTTATGACTGGACAACTCATTCTATTATCTCCTAATGAGGGTACAGCTCTAAAACTCAGTTTTATGGTTCTGAGGCCGGCTGGTAGTCAGGTTTCCCGAACTCTGTGGTAGCTCTCAGAGAGGCTGATTGCATCAACAGCCGAAAAATATCAGAGTACTAACAGTGCCATGTTGCGCATGGATGGTGTCCCTGTTCGTACTTTTGGTGTGCATTGCAGAGGCCACATTTGGAGCCCTTTGTTACGGCTTAGGGTTTATTAATAGTAATGAGGCTATTGCTTAGTTGTAAAATAGTGTACTGAGTACTATCTATACTTGAGTCAAGTTCTTTTTTCAAATTTAAAATGACTAAAGTACCTAAAACTAATAAACACAAAAAACCATTGTCATCACCAAGTTCTCTAAACCTATCATTTACTAATATTCGTGGTCTTCGAAGTAACTTTTCTTCTGTTGAGTCTTATCTCTTGCAAAGTTCACCAGACCTACTTGCTCTTTGTGAGACTAATTTGAGTTCGGCTGTCCCATCTTGTGATCTTAGTGTTGATGGTTATCTTCCTTTAATTCGTAAAGACTCCAATAATCACATGCTTGGCCTGGGCATCTACATTCGTAAGAACTCACCCATTTGTCGTGAAACTAGGTTTGAATCTACTGACTATTCTTTTATGTGCTTTCGTTTAGCACCACTTCACTCTATCGTCTTTCTCTTTGTTCTATATCGCTCTCCTTCATCCCAAGATTGCACTATTCTCGATGTCATTTCTGATCAAATTGACCAAGCCCTCTCTCTTTATCCATTGGCCAATATCGTCGTTGTTGGTGACTTTAATGCCCATCACACTGATAGGCTTGGGTCTAGTGTCAGTGACTCTGCTGGCGTTAAGGCCCTCAACTTTTGTCTTTCTCAATCTCTAACTCAAATAGTCAACTTTCCAACTCGCTTTCCAGACAACCCTAATCATTTACCTTCTCTACTCGACTTATGTCTTGTTTTGGATCCTAGCCAGTGCTCAATTTCTCCACATTCACCCTTAGGTGCTTCTGATCACGGTTTGATCTCTCTAAAACTATTATCAAATTATTCTACTTCATCAGAATCCCCCTATCATCGTACCACATACAACTACCTTAAAGCTGACTAGGACTCTTTCCGTGATTTTCTTCGTGATGGCCCTTGGGTAGAAATCTTTCGTCTTCCTGCTGACAAATGTGTTTCTTACATAACTTCGTGGATTCAGGCTGGAATGGAATCATTTATTCCCTCTCGACGATTCCAGGTCAAGCCTCACTCTTCTCCTTGGTTTTCCTCACATTGCGCTGCAGCAATTTCTAATCGAAACCGTTACTTCCATATCTATCAGCAAAACAATTCTCCAGAAAACAGATATCTGTTCACTATCGCCAGAAACCAGTGTAAAAAGGTTTTGTCTGACGCCAAATCTCGCTATTCTCAGGTCATAAAATCTCGTATCTCATCACAAAAATTAGGCTCTCGAGACTTCTGGAGAATCTTTAACAGTGTCAATAATAAGGGCAAATCTGTTATTCCTTCTCTCTTGTATGGTTCAGACTTTGTCACCTCACCTAAAGACAAAGCTGAATTGTTTGCTAAGAACTTTTCATCAATATCATCTCTCGATTCCACTACTTGCGTTCTACCTGACATAGCCGTCAAACAGGTTGATCCCTTGCTTGACATTCGCATCACTTCAGCTTCTGTATCAAAAGTAATTTCCTGCTTAGACTCCTCAACAGCTTGTGGTCCTGACAACATTCCTGTTGTAGTCTTGCAGAAGTGTTCTCCGGAGCTTTCATCTATACTTTCAAAACTATTTAACAAGTGCTTATCAGAGTCCTGTTTTCCATCATGCTGGAAAGCAGCATCTGTTATCTCTATTTTCAAAAATTCCGGAGAGCGATCTGATTCATCTAACTACCGTCCCATTAGTCTTCTTCCTGTCATAAGCAAGGTTTTTGAATCTTTAATCAACAAACACTTAATCTCTCATCTTGAATTAAATAACTTACTTTCTGATCATCAATATGGATTTCGATCTTCTCGTTCTACAGCTGATTTGCTAACAGTAATAACCGATAGGTTTTACCGTGCATTAGATAGAGGTGGAGAGGTTAAGGCTATCGCACTTGACATTTCTAAAGCATTTGATAAAGTTTGGCATGCTGGTCTTCTCCATAAGCTTTCTTCTTATGGTGTATCTGGTAACATCTTTAAGATTATTGAGTCCTTTCTTTCCAATCGTAGTATAAAAGTTGTCCTCGATGGACAACACTCTTCTTTATATCCTGTAACTTCAGAGGTTCCTCAAGGTTCAATCCTTGGCCCTATACTCTTTTTAATTTACATTAACGATCTCCCAGATATTCTCACATCTAAGGTGGCATTATTCGCTGACGACACTACCATTTACTCTTGTCATGATAAGAAGCCTACACTCTCTGATTGCCTGGAGGGGGTATCTGAGCTTGAAAAGGATCTCACTTCTGCTACAGCATGGGGCTTACAGTGGCTCGTGAACTTTAATTCAGATAAAACTCAATTTTATTCGGCCAATCGTTATCGTAATAATTTAGATCTTCCTATATTTATGAATGGTAATGTACTAGATGAGTCATCTACCATTCATCTTCTAGGATTAACTCTTACTTCTGATCTTTCTTTTAAACCGTATATCAAATCCATTGCAAAATTAGCATCTGCTAAGGTTGCATCTCTTTATCGAGCTCGACACTTTCTTACTCCAGATTCTATTCTCTATCTCTATAAATCTCAAATCCGTCCCTGTATGGAATACTGTTGCCACATCTGGGGCGGATCTTCTAATGATGCCCTTTCTCTTTTAGACAAGGTGCAAAAACGCATTGTAAACATAGTTGGACCTGCTCTGGCAGCCAATCTCCAACCTTTGTCACATCGTCGTGATGTTGCTTCTCTTTCTCTTTTCTACAAATACTATAATGGGCACTGCTCTAAAGAGCTAGCGTCTCTTGTGCCATCTACTAAAATTCATTCTCGTGTTACTCGTCATTCAATTAAGTCTCATCCTTTTTCTGTGACTGTTCCTAAGTGCTTCAAAAACTCTTATTCTTCTAGTTTTTTTCCTCGAACATCAGTTCTTTGGAATTCGCTTCCGTCATCTTGCTTCCCTGATTCATATAATTTGCAATCATTTAAGTCATCAGTCAATCGCTATCTTGCTCTACAGATTTAGTCTTTTCTCTTCCAGTAACTTCCAACTCTTATAGTGGTTGCTTGCAGCCTTGTTGGAAGTGAAGATGTTAAAAAAAAAAAAAAAAAAAAAAAAAAGTATTATTTTATTTCCTATTATTTTTATGTTTAAATTTGTTGTCATAGTAAATTAAATACTTTAACAAATACTAACAAGGTTTCTGAATAAAGACCGTGTTGATCTTGTTGTCAGAACCTTTTACAAGCATAATAATTGTATATAAGACAAATAAATAAGTATGATAAGCGTAGTATAATACGTAGTCTACAACTAAAAAGGCTCTCAACTAAAGTAATACATAGATATTATAAAAGGTACGCAAAAATCTACGTTGCGTTTGTTCAAACTCAAAAGAAGAACGTGCGTTATATTGGCTTATGAAATTTTTTTTTTTATGTTTTCTGTATTATTTGCTTCACATAATAACCCCTTTTACAAGATAATCTTAGGCTAAGTCGTCACAGATTTGACGTACTCACTGTGTTTATTTTATTACAAACAATCAACCTTTCTAAATTTGTTTGAGATTTAAGACGATTGGTGTTTAAAATTACCGAAATCAAAAAATGCTATTAACAATAAACTTTGTAGTCATCAGTTTCAACTAGGATTGTATCACCGGTTTATCATTAGATAGATAGTCACTGTTCAAAACTTTTATCAGTTGATTATAAAAATATTGAAGTTACCTCATTTAAAATATTACCAAGGTATATTAACTAATAAAAAACAATTGTAAATTAAGTCAATATTAACTAATGGTATAATTTTTTACTGCTTGAAAAAGAGTTGGAATTAAAGTACACTTATAACTCTCATGCAAAGTTATATAACAACTTTACAAAATGATTTAAATATAATAAAAAATATTGCAATTTAAAACTAAAATTTATAAATAGAAAAAAAGAAATGTAGTTTTATATGTTTGTATGTATGTCTTTAACGCAATTCTATACCATTTATCTAATCCTGAACAAATTTGCCACAATCTACAGTGCAAAGAGATGTGTTATATATAAAGCGGTCATTTTAGATCTCTGGAACAATAGGAACAGAATCCATCTCTAAATTAAATTAGTGCAAATAATAAATAAATTAAGGTTTAAATTTTAAACGACTTTAGAAATATGTTTTGGATAAACTAAATACTTATTTTAAGTTAGTATATTCATGCTAACGTACTATGTAAACATTATTGTTATGTAATGACGTCTTTTTAGATGTTATTGCTATTGCTGTTATTATTAATATTAATGTAATACCTAAGTTTATTGAAATCATTTATCTTTTTCTATCCCAATTATTATAACCATCAGTAGAGTTACGCGACTAAGCTCGGTGTTAAAAAGCTTATTTAGAAAATAATATTTAACTTCTAATCTTAACTCTAAACCTAACCTAAATCTTAGCGAATTATATACCCTTACAGTCTTATCACAGACCGTAAGGGTTCACAGTATGAAGGGCGTTACTAAGTTGGCGCGGCGAAGGGGTAGCCAACATGCCTCAGAAACGAAGGATCCGGGTTTCAAACCTCACCTGGGTAAGTTTTGCGATATCGGTTAGGAAAAAGGCGTGAACTTCTTATTAAATGCTCTTCCGCGGTGCTCGGTGATAAGACCGTAAGGACTTCTTGGGACACCTAAATAAAAAAAACTTAAAAAAAAAAAAAAAGTTCATACCTCATTCCTTACCTATGTCGTTTATCTGACCGGAGCCAGCTTAAATGCACGAACCTCATGGTTTTGAGCCAAAACTCTAACCACTGCGCTACGGCTTTTCCTATGGTTTTATAAATCAAAAACAGCATCTACAAACATAGCCTATGTTTTACCCATGATCCTACAATCTGTAGGATCATAAGAGAAAGTGACAAATTGTTAATTAAGACTAAGTAAGTGGTATAGGAAGCATAAAGTACATATAAACGTACATTAATTTTTATACAGTTATGAACAAAAAGATTTGAATCCCAATATTTAAAACGAATTACCATTTTTGAACTGTATAGTGTACTCAGTTTTGAGTGGTCAGAAGCCATAATTATAAATAGATTCAAGTTTTTATTTAAAAAACTGCAAAAGTATAATTTGAGTAGAGTATGAGAAAGTCTAACCCGTTTTAAAAAAAGTCTAACTTCAAAGAGTGTTTAAAAAAATATTTGTCCAATTCACTACAGTTTTACTGTATAATTTGCTTTAATTTTTATGCTGCTGCATGTGAAGAGAGTATAGAAAAGGGTTAATGGTTACTTTCTTTAACAACATTCAAAAAACATTAAACCTCAAGAATTTTTTTCAATTTTATTGTACAAGACAAAATGGTATATATGAGTAAAGGGAGAGAGAAGCGTAGTACTTGTTCCACATCCAGCTTAAAATCGTTCGCGTATGATCCAATTACCAGAACAATAAGAACACACATAAAGATATTTGTTCAAAAGGTAAACTTTAATAAAGTGATAATTTATTACAAGATAAACAGACAAAAACAAGGATAAAGAATAATGAATTCAAAAAACGTTGCTTTCATTGTAATAGTCTTAATGATTCTAGATTGCGGACAACGGACGAGATTTAAGTCTCAATGACTCTAGATTCTAGACTAAGTTTAGCGATAATATCGCTAAATTGTTATAAAAACAGCTCTAATAATTTTAAAAATATTCTTTCACAAACTTGGCTTCAATATTTTACAATATTATTTATCAACAATATGCTAGAAACAAACTATTTTTTAGTACAAGTTCGTTGCATACATTATCTAGCAAACTTCTTTGTTGTGTTTAGTATATAAGTTATGCTAAAAAGGTTCCTCTAAACCCTATAACGCAGTATGTCTCAAAATTATTGTTTAAAAAAAAAACAATATAAAATGAATAATAAAATACGAATAAGAGTATAAAATTAAACTTTAAATTTTTATGTTTTACACTAAGTGACAAATTTGAACAAATTTTTCTTAGTCTAAAAATATCTAAAAGAAAAACACAAACAAAGGATTGCTCTAAAATATATTGAAATTTTTTTTAAATAATAAAACAATTTTTTAAACTATTATTTGCTTTTATATAAGGAAGAAAATAGTTTTTTTAAAAATAAGGCGGATAAAATGCATGTTTAAGATAAAGGTTAAATAAACAATAAGTCTTGTTAAACTGAAATAAATTATAATGAACATTCTCAAAGAAATAGATGTCAGTTATATTAAGTATTTGCAATTGACAAGGATACAGTGATAGTGAACACATTTGCATTATATCATTTTTCAAATTAATCACTTTTCTTTTCACTTTCTGTTTTGCCTTCATCCTCTGACTCTTCGGCTTTATAATTACAATGCTTTTCTCCGGGTTTTAATAATTTTCCCACGCAGGCGTACTTATCTCGGAACTGCATTTCCCACTCCAAAACTGAGTCCATCTAAATTAATACAATAAATGCTAAAATAATTATATATATATATATATATATATATATATATATATATATATATATATATATATATACACATATATATATACATACAGATGTGAGCATTATATGTGAAGTATTATACTGTACTAAAGAATTATTAATATTTTTATAATCTTTTCTTTCACTTAACATGAACTTTGGCATTGTGGTTTAACCTCCTCCGGCTAATTGCCATATAGAGGTCACTTTACCAGAAATCCGCTAAGACTAGTTAAGCCCCGGAGGGAGCGTCATACCCGCTCTGCGGACTAAGAGTAAGGTGAGTTTGGGAAGAACGAAGATATGTTAGAGTGAAGGATAGAGGTTGTCGAGTTAGAAGAATAGCATAGAGTAAGCGGACAGGATTGCACACAATTTTGGAAAGTGCAATACATACTGTTAGTTGGGTCGCCTAACTAATGTACGCCGACAAAGTTGCAATTGGAGTTCGCTTAACATGAACTCTTCCTCAACTTTCTTTGTCGTCCAAGGGACTCATATAAGTAACCTTTTATATAGAAATTTGCTTCTAAACTGCTTGCGAGTTTGTTTTATTATTATAAAATATACTTTATTATCGAAAAATGTTTGTTTGCTTTTTTTTAAATCCTTTTTTAATACGTACTTTTTGAAATTTTTTTTTTTAAATAAACTTGAAAAATATAACTTACAACATAATTTTGTCTAATATTAATATAAAAATATATTACATATGTGGGAGGACGAGGGTGGCAATGCAAACGAAATATTTGTACGGTATTTGTATGTTATTTTACTTTTATATAAAAAATTTTTAATCTTTAAAAAAATATATTCCGCTCCTTTAACCAGGAGGCTTAATAAGCGCGAACTGGTATAAGTGCAAACTCGCATATATGCGAGGTGTGGCACAAGTGCAAAGTGGCATAAGTGCGAAGTATAATAAGCTGCGTTATGCCAATATTTGCAATTTTATTCGGCGCACTTATGCAAGTTCGCACTTATCACATTTCGCACTTATGCCAATGTTTCCAAATTCTTTTGGCTCACTTATGCCAGTTCACTCTTGTGCCAGTTTTTGCAACTGCTTTGCATTTATGCCAATTTGCATATATGCTAGTACTTACGCCAGTTGGCACTTATGAAATTCGCGCTTATTCAGTTGTGCTTTAATCAAGAAATACTCCGTTTCTTTAATAAGGATAAAAAGCTCGATTTAATTACAAATGTCTTGACATTGCTAAATATCGTGACTCTATGTAAAGACTAAAAAGAAGAAAATAAAAAATAGCAATATCATTTGCTAAAAAATTTAATATTTTATAATCTTTTCCTTCACTTAAATAATTTTTTTCATGACGCTCTAAAAAATAAACATTTTAAAGAGAAATTTGCTACTAAATTGCTTGCCGGTTTGTTTATATTAGTAAAATTTATTAATTAACAAATCTTTTCATTTTTAAAATAAACTAATATTGCATGTGGATTTGTAATTTTTTTTAATTTTCTTTTAAAAATCAATTTTTTTATTTTAAAAATCGGCTAAGACTTTATTTATACGGCCGGATATTTTGCATTTTGAAGAAAAAAATAGAAGGCCAGTTTTCTCGAAAAGTATTTTTAAGAAAGCAGCTTTGTAAGTTCAAAAAGATGGTTAACAAATGTTGCGTTGTAAATTGTCGTTCAAATTATCATAATTATGGTGAAGTATCTACAGTAGTATTTTTGTTTCCAAAAAATGAAGAGTTAAAAAAAATTGGATTAAATTTGTAAATAGAAAAGATTGGACATCTACTAATTCTTCCGTTATATGCATCAAACATTTTGAAAAAAAAAAAATTATAAGAAAGGTAACAAGAATCAACGTTTTAGATTAATAAAAAAACTAAAGCCTATTCCAACTATTATTGACTGCACAAATTTGACTAAAGAAGGTTCATCACAACTTATAAAATCTTCTAATTCATTAAGAAAATCACCAACTAAAAGAATATTTCAGCCAGATCAATATGAACAGTTTTTACTGAATGATTTGATTAATAGCTTTAACGATATTAGTAAAAGTTTTGCTCCAGATGGTTTTTCATTCTTGAAGTATGATGATCATGTAATTTTTTATAAATTTAGTCATAGTATTTTATCTATTCCAGAAGTTACTGAGTGCATTCGTGTAAACAATGAGATGCATGTTAAATTATTTTACAAAGGTTCACCTCTGCCATTGCCTCAGTGGTTTCGTCAAGGAAGAGATTGTCGTTTATCTTGTAAAAGTATGCTTCATAATTTTCCTACCTACATTAAATCACAAGCCGAACAATTTTCATCTGTAATGACTGAATTACAGCAAATTAAATATATGAAAAAACCTATTTATTCAGCCAATATTATAAGGTATTCACTGATATTACGATATACTTCTATGCAGTCATACCAACTTTTGCGTGAAGTATTGCCTTTACCATCATTATCATTACTTAAAAAAATAACTAGTGGAAATGCGGTAGTGGTGTAGTGGTAGAGCGCTTGCTTCATAAACGAGTGGTTCCGAGTTCGATCCCCACCACGTCCCTGGTAGTACCGCGCTCAACTCGTTTCTCCGCGCAGCGGCCTTGTTCATCAAGGTTCGTGTTTCAGAGTTATAGAGTTGAGAGAGGGTTATAACCACAAATAAGTAGCCTCCTCGTCTGTAGTGGCCTTCTCGGCCTTGAGGAGGTGAATTAAAATTAAAAAAAAAAAAAAAATATTGATGCTTTAAGTTGTGCAAAAACTTAAAATTAGAAGGTAAGATATCTCAAGACATTTGCTTGATTTTTGATGAAATGTACTTGCAAAAATGCGAGGAATATTTTGCGAGAGATGATTGGTAGTGATGAGTCTGGAGAAATGTATAAGGGAATAATTTGTTTTATGATAGTTTGCCTGAAACAAAACATTCCATATGTGATCAAAACGTCTCCTGAAAAAACAATCAATGCTGAATGGTTGAAAGAAGAAATTTTTGAATGTCTTCGTATTTTAACTGAATGTGAATTTAATGTTAGAGTTATTGTGTGTGACAACCATTCCGCTAATGTTTCTTGTTTTAAAAAAAATCCAATGTGCATCGAATCAACAAGCCGAAGATTTGTTTTTTATTTACAAAATATTTCTTTAGAACTTGCAATTTTTGATGAAACTACATCTGCAGCGATTTACTCATACTTTCCTGATCTTAAAAGTAGTGCAGATTTTTTTACATTATTTAACAAGTGGTGGGTTTTATCAAATTCTAAATGTCAGTAATCATAATGTAATATTTTAAGGTAATGCAGTCCTCATTGATTGAGGACTTGCTAAATGATGAATATTACTTTGTTTTAACTGCGAGATTTCAAAGTAACCCTTTAGAAAGGAGATTTGGGCAATATAGACAAATGAGCGGTGGAAGATTTTTAGTGGGTTTAAAAGATGTCACTATTTCTGAAAAAATAGTAAAAATTAAAAGTATAGTTAAAGAAAGTATTAAATTTGATGATAGTTTGAAAGTGCCTCTCGAGTCAGAAAAAAACAGACTTAAAAAACATTCTTCTTAATATTGATAAAGCTCAGTGTACTCCAGAAATCATGACACTTGCACCAGAAAGTAGGGAAGTAGGTGCTCATATTGCTAGCAAAGAAACTTAAAAAACGTTTTGGTACATGTTGTATGTTGTGTCAATATTGATTAAAGCAATCCTGATCATACTTATTTAACAATTATTTCTACAGGTGGTCTCACTATTCCTTCACCATTACTTTATGTTTGCACATCCTTTGCTATGATTGACTACTCTTATAATAAAATAAAGAAATTTAGTTTACATGCACTACAAGCTTTAGAATACTTGTTAAACCACTTTTATGACTCTTTTCAGACTTTTTCTTGTCCCATGCATGAGAAAAAAGGGATAAAACTTGCTGGAAGAATTGTTGTCAACATTTTTCTTAATAATAAAAGAATTATCTCTACCAGCGAAGTAGCTGTCGATCATGTAAAATCTTTTAAAAAGAGAAAATTTGAGAAAATTTAATAAATTATATATAATTATTTTATTGTTTAATGAAAAAAGAAAAACATTTAAATATTTTTTATAACTGTTGTTGTTTCTTACATTGTTTTTACTAATTCTAAATTTTAAAATAAAGACTCTTGATTTATTTATTTCTTAATAAATGTTCATTTAATATCTAAAATTATGAATATATAATACTTTTGTGGACTTTTTAAATTTAAAAAATAAAATAATTTTGAAAATGTTCAAAACGTATTAAGTTTTTGAAACATTACAATTTTAAAAACTGGCCTTCTATTTTTTTCTTCAAAATGCAAAATATCAGGCCGTATAAATAAAGTAGGCCATGGCTAAGATTGCATGTGGGTTTGTTTTATCTTTTAAAATCTTTTTTGTAATACTTTTTTTTTGAAATTTTTTTTTTTTTTAATAAAATTGAAAATGTAACTTACTATGTTATGTAAGACTTAATTATACGTTTAGAAAAACGCATTGCTAAATATTGTAACTCTCTGTAAATACTAAAAAGTAGAAAATAAAATATAGCAAAAACATTTGCTAAAAATATAATCTTTTTGAACTAAAAAGTAGAAATAAACTTTTTAATTTAAATTTAATAGTTCGTAAACTAAAGATTGACAGGTATGTTTCTAAATAAACATTGCACAGACCTGTCAATCTTTAGTTTACGGAACTATTAAATTTAAATTAAAAAGTTTATTTTCTACTTTTTAGTACAAAAAGATTATATTTTTAGCAAATGTTTTTGCTATATTTTATCGTTATTACTCTTCTTCTGTATAATATAGAAAAAATTTTTATGTGCGTATATACTAGAATGAGATAAGTAAATTGAGCAAATCAGAGTTCAATACACCCAACAATACCGTTATTTTTAATAAAATTATTGTAATAGAGGGAATGTATTATAATAGCAGCGGTTATTTTGATTCTAAA